TTAGGCTTAGAGAAATCCCGAATCTAGGCTCTCCTAGCAAATGTTGTATTTTAAGAGAAATATCATCATGTAAAGCAACTAGATGCCCTACAGGCGGGTGCTTAGTCTTAATTCTGTACATAGAGAAAGAATTAGGGTAGCTCCTTCAGCCCTCTACACTCATTCCCCTCCACCTCTCCCTGGGAGAAGTGCTTTCTGAAGTTCTTGAGTGGTATTTTAGAGGCACATTGGCACTCTTCTCAGGGACTACAATCCAATCAAGACACCTCTAACAGCACATGGCTCTTATTTCAGCTGGCAACAAAAGTGACTCCACGGTTCAGGCTCTCTGTGTAAAGTTATTCTGCTATGTCTGGAGTGTCCCAATAATAGATCCTCCGACAGCAAGCCCCCACCCTGGAGGCAAGAGCCCTCAACCCTCTCCTCTCCTAGTTCTTATGTGGACAACTGCAGCTGCTCAAGAATGGAGCATCCAACTAACCTGATACCCTCACATGAAAACCCTTAATAAACCGTGAAAGGATAAATAAGCTCTAAGGAATCTGAGGATAGTGTATGGGGTGGTATTTTTTCTTGCACAAGCATGGCATAACTATGCCCTTTTATCTTATGAGTGCTAGTTACTGTGGTGATGGTGGTGGGGTGATGATGGTGGTGGTGGTGATGATGATGATGATGATGATGATGATAAAAAAAAAAAAACACTGAGGCCCAGAGAAGAGAAATAAAGAGCCAAATCAGGAGCTGACTCCAAATCTCTTCTTCCCACTAGCCCACAATCTACATCAGCCATAAGCATCAGGTTGTCTGGACTTCATGTGCCACCATCCAGCCCCAATGAACTCCTGACAAGCTACGCTCATGGGAGTATAGAAGTAGTACAGATTTTCTTCTGACTGACCTTGGCTTTGGAAAACTCATTCAGGCCCTTGCCCTCTTCAGACAAAGCCTCCCACAGCAATCCCACCAACAGAGAGCCAGAAGGTAGAAGGAAGTAAGGGATAAGACTCCAGAGCCAAGATGGCTAATCCATTTATAGATAACTGAGAGATAACAGGATATTTAAACACCTAATACTACCCACTTGACCCTGTTCACATATATTCTGTCCCGTAGCAGTGAGTGTTACTACTGTAATACCCCTTGGGAGAGAGAGCAGTTATGTATTACTTTGATATATAGAATTCACCCAAAGGGAAGAGAACAGTCTTGCTCAATAAAAACTTAATTTTTTTTTTACTTTGGTTTCTACTGACAAGTACAGGCATACTTGAAACAAACAAAAAAGGAGAGATTTTCATGACAGTACACTACCCCTCCCCACCAAAGGATGTGCACGCTGACTTTCCCCAAAGGAGTGTCCACACTGTCCTCCACATTGTGATCTCTCCTGACCTTCCTTACTCTGTACATAATACAGATATGTTGATATTATTGTTGTCTTCAGCTACAGAAGGGCAGCTAACATAGTTGGCACCTAGTTCTTTTGGTTCTCCTTTCTTCCCTCTATGCCATTCAAATCTTCCCAGGCTTCCCTGAATCAATAAAGATAGAACGAATCCTCCTACTTATCACAGCTGGAGAACATTGGTCACTTATCACAAATACAAAACTCTGTAAAAGAAATTCAACAACCCCCCTATCCTTATTCTTCCCATTTAGGACACCCAGGAAACCTGATGAAGACTGCCCATCCTCCCAAACATAGAAACGATGCTCCTTTCCCTATGGGCCAACCCCTAAGTTAGTTAATATGCCAGGGTACCTATCCTCCTCAGAGCAACAGCATCTTCATTACTGGGGGGGACATTCACCCTGTGCCAGAGAACCCTGGGAAAGCCTCAAAATATGCCTGTTTCATTGGCTACAATAACATAAGCAAAACCAACACTAAAAGGCAGATGAACTCAGACTAACTTGTAAGGATCAATATCTAGACCCAGGGGAACAGATGAAAAACTACACTTCTCTCATCTCAGAGATGTGAAGACTGACTACTGGCCCTATCTTGCTTACACAGTCAGATGCTGTGTCAACTGGTTTGTCTTAATTGTTTTTCTTGGTTACAAGGAAGGAAATACTGGGGCAGAAAAAGCAAAAAGCCATCAGCAAAGCTTTTTTAAAAAGGTCCTTTTGACAGCAGCAGCCATTTCCCTACTCCTACTGGCTGGGTAGCCAGTGAGGCAAAAATAAAACTATAGTTGGGTTACTTTAAGCCCCAGAAAGAGAACTGGTCTACCATTTGCACAGTACAGTCAGGTGATCAAAACCCTACATTGCTTTCACCCACTTCACCAGGTGCAAAGTCACAGCTGTAACCTAAGCCTGAAGTCCCACCCAAAGGCACTTTCCAGACATTTCCAGACTACAGAGGTCAAAACCTAATCCTCTCATCTTTCTTTCATTCTCTTCTGCTAGCCTCCACTACTCCTTGGAAAGGTTCCTTGAAGGCTTGAGAAAAAGCATTGTATTTGATTAGAGAAATACAAATTAACAACTCAGGTACCACATCCCACCTATCGGATTGACTAACATGACAAAACAGGAAAATGATAAATGCTGAAGATGATGTGGGAAAACTGGGACACTAATGCACTGTTGGGGGAGTTGTGAACTGATCCAATCATTCTGGACAGCATCTGAACTATGCCCAAAGGGCTATAAAACTGCATACCCTTTGCAGTTTTACCACTGCTAGGTCTATATCCCAAAGGGATCATAAAAAAGGGAAAAGGACTCACGCATACAAAAATATTTATAGCAGCTCTTTTTGTGGTAGCAAAGAATTGGAAATTAAGGGGATGCCCATCAATTGGGGAATGGCTGAACAAGTTATGGTATATGACTATAATGGAATACTATTGTGCTATAAGAAATGATGAGCAGGCAGATTTCAGAAAAACCTGGAAAGACTTACATGAACTCATGCTGAGTGAAGTGAGCAGAATCAGGAGAACACTGTACACAGTAACAGCCACAATGGGCAATGACTAACTTTAATAGACTTAGCTCTTCTCAGCAATGCAATGATCTAAGACAATTCCAAAAGACTCATGACGGAAAATACTATCCACATCCAGAGAAAGAACTATGAAGTCTGAATGCAGATGGAAGCATATTTTCTTTTTTTGTTTTTTTCTTTATCATAGTTTTCCCCTTTTGTTCTAATTCTTCTTTCATAATATGACTAATGTGGAAATATGTTTAATATGATTGTACATGTATAGCCTATATCAAATTGCATGCCATCTTGAGAACGGTAGGGAGGATGAAGGGGGAAAAATTTAGAACAAAACCTTATAAAAGTGAATGTTGAAAACTTTAAATAAATAAATTTATTTATTTTTTAAAAGAGAATCAATAAAACATTTTTTGGGGGGAAGGCTAGGCAATGGGGTTAAGTGATTTGTCCAGGGTCACACAGTAAGTGTCAAGTGTCTGAGGCCAAATTTGAACTCAAGTCCTCCCCCACTCCTGGGCCTGTGCTCTATCACCTAGCTGCCCCTTCCACTGTTCTTTACACATTCAATCTCTACAACAAGAATTATTATACATACCTAGCTGCCCCAAAACATTTACTTTAGAAAGAAAAAAAATTGTAAAGTAGAATAGCATGACAGAAGAAAGAACAGTAGATTTGGGAATCAGGGTACCTGGGTTCAGATCCCAGCTCTGCCACTTACTACTTGTGTACCCCAGCCATGTCAATTAAATCCTCTGGGGTTAAGCTTCCTCTTTTGCAAAATAAGAGAGACAGACTACAATAGGGGTTGCTAACCCGAGTTCCATGAACTTTTTTTTTTATATTTTTGGTAACTATTTTGATACAACTGGTTTCCTTTTTTATGTTATGAAATTTATTTTAAATATTTTAAAACACACTTGTATTTTAAATATTTGAAATGTTAAATATTTAAAATCATACTCTGAGAGTTGATCTACAGGCTTCACCAGACTGCCCAGGAGGTCCATGACACACATGCACACAAAAAAGATTAAGAAGCACTGGACTAGATGAAATCCCTTCTATCTATAAATCCATGAACCTAAGTGGGTACAAGGACAATGGACCTTCTCACTTATCTTGTAGGATACACAAGGGAGGGTAAGTCAATAATAAAAATAACTGTGTCTACTGTTTAATTTTTTTCTCCTATTTCTTAAGACTTAGCTTAAGTGTTCTAGGCTCTGGGCTTGACCAGTGAGGAGTCATTCGTCTCCACAGCCACCCTGCTGTCCCTCCTCTCCAAGAAGGGACATTCTGCCACAGTCTCTGAGTAAGTCTCTCAATCCCCTACCAGCTCAGTCTGTCCTTTTACAGCACAACAACCAGCAGGTTGGCATGAATGCATTTTCAAGTCCTCTGGCAAAAAAGAAGCCGTGACATTCACTCTTTCCCAGTTCTTCAACCATGCATTTTAGGGGCAGCTCGATGGCCCAGTGGATAAAACAAATAAACAAAAAAAAGCAAGCACTTAAATATACATATTTATGTAGATCCTCAAAGCATGCTTTTCCCGCACAAAAACCCTGTGAGGTAGGCAGTGCAAGCATTTCCACTTTACAGGTGAGTAAACTGCAGCTAAGAGATTACACATCCTGCCCAGGGTTACAACAACTAGTAAGCGTAGGAGCGAGTATTCTCCTTATTCCAAATTCTGGGACCAGTTCTCAGACCACAGAAGACTAGTCTTCTGGGAGGGTCCAAGATCCAGATCCTAAGGAGAGGAAAGGGGCACACAAAACCTTCACCCTCATCTAGGTCTACGGGGGCGAGGAGTGCCAACTGCCAGGCGTGCCCTCCTGCCAGAAATCTGAGGGCAGGATGGCCTGGCAAAGCTAGCTGTGGAGGTGCGGACGAGGCATGGGCATGGCTCAAGCGTGGAGGGCAGCTCCCACCTCCACCAGGCATTACCAGGTCGAAGAGAAAAGATGAGAACTATTTTTCCCCCCCGAGAGCCTCTTCCTCCCGGGCTCGCCCACCCGGGGCTGGGCTTCACCTGTTCAAACTCGACAGGGCGCCTCTCAGAAGGGACTGAAGGTCAGAGGCTAGAGCCTGGGCCTGGGACCAGAGAGCTCAAGAGGAAAGCGGAATTCGTAAAGGGCAGCGGGGAACCGCACCCCCAGGCACTGGCCACGGAGGTGCGGGGGAGGAACGAGGAACGACTGCACTTGGTCATCAACTTGGGCTGCAGCGCGGTGTCTCCAGGCGTTCCAGGGTCGGGGCTCGGGCACCTGACGACTGCCAGCCTCGCGGACGAGACCCACCGGGGGCCCCCGGGGAAGGAAGCAGCAGCGGCAGCCGGATCCTAGGCACCAAGAGGGGACGGATGCCGGGAGGGGCGCGGAGGCTGCGGAGGCTGCGGCTGCGGTTGCGGCGGGGGCTCTCCTTTCCCTGCAGCGGTGCATGCAGCAAGCGCACGGGGCTGCAGCCTTACCTGGGATTGGGGAGGTCAGCAGCCCGCCTCCGCCTCCTGCAGCCCCGCACCTGCCTGCGCACACCCTTCCTCCCACTCAGCACTGTGGATCCAGCACGCGCTCAGGAGTATGTTTACCAACTCTCCAGCAGCGCCGCGCGAGACCCTGGGACGGCCGTAAGCACCGCCCCTCCGGGTCGCTCCGATTGGCGGCGCCACTTCCTCCTTCGGAACATGGACCCGGGCAGCCGCACGCGCCCGGAGCGTAGAGGAAGCTGCGAGCCACGAGCCGCGAGCAGTGCGCCGAGCCCGGGCTTCTGGCTCCTGGGCCAATCAGGAGCGAGAACTGAGAGACGCAAGGCCAATGGGAGGCAGCTCTTCTTGGGCCACTCCTAGCCCCTTCCCCACGCTCCACGCTCCTTGCTCCTCCCTCTTCACGCCTCCCTCCTCGGCCTGTAAATATAGTTAGGCCGTTTGCATTGTGCAAGGGTTGGGCCCGTCCTTGCGGGGCCGGGGGGTGGGGCATTTCTCTCGCGGCCTACGGCCTGTGCTGTTGATGTCTTCGCGGGAAATGTTGCAAACCGCCTCGCTTATCATGCCACTTAGGGCCAGGCCTCAGGGAAGGGGGGAGGAGAAAAAAATAAAAGAGATATGGCAACTCCCGGGGAGCTGGAGCCGGGAATCAATCTCTCCCTCAATCTGTCTCTCTCTCTGTCTTTATCTCTCTCTCTGCCTTTATCTCTTTCTCGGTCTCTCAATTTCTGTCTCTCAATCTCTTTCCTTCTCTCAATCTGTCTCTCACTGTCTCTGTCTCTCGGTCTCTGTCTATGTCTCTGTCACTCAGTCTCTTTGTCTTT